GATAATGCTTAAACAACACTATTTAGATCTTTGCAACAATCTCATTAATGATGACCCATCATATCATGAAATTAATAGGGATCCCACACCTAAAGTTGAAAAGAAAAGTAATGACATTGTTAAGGAACTTCTCAGCACTGGACAAATAACCCAAGAACAAAAAAGAACTTTGACCACTTATAACTCTGTCCCTCCCAAATTCTATGCACTTCCGAAAATTCACAAACCCGTACACTCAGTAAGACCTATAGTTGCATCAATAGATTCAGCCACCCAGGCTTTGTCTTCATTAATATCGCCAACACTAAAATCAGCACATGCAGATAATGATTACTACATCAAAGACTCATTTGAGGTCTCTCGTCAGTTCAACAGATTGACAATACCAGCCGATCATATTATCGCCAGTCTTGATGTGGTGTCACTATTCAGCAATATCTATCTGGATGCATGTACAAGAACTATTAATAAACACTGGAATGAGATCAGTCAACACTGCAACATATCTCTAGAATCTTTCACCAACATTATAACATTCCTTTTTCATAACAATTATTTCTCTTTCAACAACAAAATATATTCTCAAACACATGGTGGTCCTATGGGATCTGTTCTATCACCAATTTTGGCAGAATATGTCATGGATGATCTTCTTGACACTGTTATTCCGACACTACCCTATAACCTCTTCTTCATAAAAAAATACGTAGACGACATTATTTTATGCCTCCCCTCCATAGGTCTGGATGGTATTGTCAGAGAATTCAACAGCTATGACCCCTACATCCAATTTACCATTGAAAAAGAAGATGAGAACCTGTCTGTCCCCTTTCTAGACACAAGACTCATCCGCACCAACAACAACAATTTATTGGTAGACTGGTACCAGAAACCTATGGCCTCAGGTCGGTTTCTCAATTTTAGGTCATACCATAAGCTAGGGATTAAAATCAATTTGGTAAAACAGATGAAAACAAGGGTAATCAGCATCTCAGATAATACTTTCCACACCTCAAATTTACATAAACTATCAAAACTGTTCATCAATAATGGTTATCCGAAGTGTCTGATTAACAAGATCTTATTTAGTTCACCTTCCAATATTTTGCCGAACTCTGGTGATGCAGGTAATAGTCACACAACCCCTAATAATAACGGAACTGATGTAATTCCCAATAATAGCATCAATCCAAACAATACAAACACCAACCCAGACTCCAGACCTGGTTTTGCTGTCCTGCCCTATATCAAACAACTGACCCCTAAACTGATCAGATTGTGCAGTCCTTTGAACTTTCGAATTGCTTGCAAATCCGTCCTCACTATAAACCGCATTTTTTCAAAAATGAAAGACAAAGTCCCGCTGCTTAGCTTAACTAACACAGTCTACTCCATCAATTGCAACAACTGCAACCAAATATACATAGGTCAGACCTCCAGATCTCTTAAAGGAAGGATTACATCACACAAAAGTGATGCTAGGCTTCATCCTGAAAGATGCGCTCTAGCATCTCATGTTAACACAACAGGGCATTCTATGAATTACACAAGTATCAAAGTTCTTGATAAAGAAAAACACCTTTCCAAATGTTTATTCCTGGAAATGTCCCACATTTTCATGAATAACAACTGTATCAACAAAAAGACAGATATTAAACAACTGAGTGTCATTTACTCATATTTGCTAAACTGCGAAAAATTGGAGAACTTACATATCTCCCCAAATTTCGACTTTTCACAACCATAAATATAATCTATGTTTTGGCCGATTCCACCAACAAATTAAATTCCACTCAAAATCTAATAATTCTCTTCTAACGATTTATTAATAATTGTTAATTTAAAATTCCCATTAATTAAAATATAGTTTATTCAACTGCCTCTGGTCGGTTTAACAATTTCTTACATAACATTCTGAAAATCACATCATCTAAAGTGATTTGGCAACGTTTTGGCACACGCCCCCAATTCGTTCCATCTTTCAACACAGACATTGACAACCTTCGGCCTTCTGTCAAAGGTTCATCTCATTCATTATTCCATAACCACCAATTTGTGCAATCATCAAGTAACTTCACAACGTAATGCTCTAATGTTTTCTAAATAATTTTTAATCTGTCATCAACTTGTCTTGTCATATAATTTTAACCATTGTACCATGTATCCAGCTCTCACCATATTACTGGACATTTCCCTCATCCTATACGAAAACAACAATTAGCAACATCCTCACATACTACTGTAAGTTGATTCAATTTAAATTCATTTTACACTTTTGTTGCTACTGTTATCATTATAATTGCAGCTCCTGATGATGATGGCAAAGTCCATTGAAAGCTAGAGAGAATTAAAAAAAGTATAAAGAGTCCTCTTTGCTTAAATTTTGTCGAAGTACCCAACAAAAGGCTGAAGCCTTAATTTTTCACCTAACTGGTCTAGACGACAATGACCACGTCTCAAGTTATATATACAGGGTGACTTTGAAGTTGAGTCATTAATTTTCAGATAATGATTGTAGAAGGAAGATAAACCAAAATATGTGTGTAAAAATAAAAAAAAAATAAAAAAAATTTTTACCTTGTTTTATAAAGTATCCTCCCGACAAGTATTTCAGTGCGGACCTGTATTTGATCGTGAGGTCCCCTGTGAAGTCTTAAGTCACCTGATTCACGAGCCCGTTGTACTACATTAACAAAGGCACGAGGGGTTGGTTGCACTCGATTGGGAAACCGATCCGCATAAACATGTGCCATTTTTTATTTCGTTTGAGCCACGCAACAGACACTACTCACACGCGACTGACACTGATTGTATGTATATCTGAACTGAATGAAATAATTGTAAAAAACTCGTTCCAAATTCTTTCGCTTTTTTGTTTCCGATGCGATGAACCGATAAGGTGGATTATATCCGTTGTTGCCAAACACAAGCACATGATATTATTATTGAGACAGGGCGGTACTCAAACTTCCAAAGGGCTATAACTTTGTTACTTTAATTTTACCAGAAAAATGGTAAAGGAAAAAAACATTTCTTTTGATCAGATCTACTCACTGTTAAAATAAATGACTCAACTTCGATGTCACCCTGTATATATATATATATATATATATATATATATATATTATTTCCTTATAATTTTCATCCAACAAAAATGCATGACCAACTAAGGAAATACATGACTAAATTTAGAACTGAAAATTCCATTTAAATGTACGAAATTCCAATATAGCATCCATATGAAAAAACAAAACTGGTGATGGAAGTTGAACAAAATGTCGAATTGAAAATTTGACTACGCCATCTTGTAGAAGGAGAATAAGTAGCAATGACAACACGTAATTTATTTTGAAATCTCATTTCAAATAAAGTCAGGGAGAAATATAAAGGTGATCTTGGGGTATATCTGGCATGCGAATCAAATGAAAATCTGAAAATTTCAAGAACTGCCTAGGAGATTCTGCTTTTTCGAATTAACTAAAATTTGGTAATACCAATATATGACCTATGATACATTTTTCAAATCAGAATCATGAAACCTATTTATCCGTGCAAAAATCCAATATGGCGTCCATAAGAAAAATAAAGTGGATGCTGGAGGACAAATTCTAATTATGTTACCTTGAACAACTAGTGGCAATGTTAATGTGCAAGTTATTTTGGAATCCCACTACACATGAAACGACTTTGGGAAATTTCGGTTTTTTTCGTCTCCCTACGGAAGTACTTCCTGAGCGGCATTTTGTTGGTTACCTAAATACGCAGCTTTGACCCCATATAAGCAACTTCATATCTCTTACAGTTTCCGAGATTCCAATGGTGAGGGCCGAATTTGAAACACCAGGCGGATTACAAAAATATCGATATGCGCTGGTCTGACAAAGTGCGGACATTTCGTTAAGAAAAATTAAATATAAAGAAATCGTGCTCTTGCCTGGTATTTTTTCTTACGTTCTTGTTATGTCTTGAAGAGTAATGATCTTAGAGCAAAGTCGAAAAAGACTGTTTTATTCACTTTGAGCAGACGCGTACAATAAATGGATTTTTTATAGTTCTGTTGACATAGTGAAGCCACAGTGAAAAACATAATTGCTGAAAAATTGAGCACACGTGTTTCCTTATAACAGGTAAGAAAGTACTCGCCAGTTTTGCTAAAAATATAGGATATAACATGAAATTAACGAGAAGTACCAGCAAAAAACGATTTTTTAAAATTCTATTGTTTCAACTAATTTCCGGCACACGTCTGACCAGCGCATATCAAAATTCTTGTTATACACCGTTTGCTGACACACCCCCAATAGAAACCTTAGTTACTCCAGAAAACATCCACCTCAAGCAATACTTGGAGTGACATTACCTCATTCCATATTTTGGAAAATTTAAACCCCCACTTCTGTATTGAACCCAATATTGTATGTATCTATCTCAACCAAGGAATTCGAATAGTTACTAGGAGCCAAGCCTATATGCTTACATTGGATTGTTTGTCAACAAAATTGCGTAGTTTTAGTGTATACCTTTGACTCATTTATCTACCAAAGCCTATCAAACAAAAGCGCATTGAATCAGCATAATAATAGCCACCAGTGGAAACATCTATCTTCATTAGGCTTGTGTCGCTCTTTGCAAATTACGTAAGAAGTAACATGTCTTGAAACCGTCTAAGACCACAATTTCTGCAAACACTCGCACTTTTATAAATATAACACAAATTTAATGATATAACTGTCCAAAATGACTTCAGTTTAATGCCCATCACAGACTGTGAGAATTAGGAGACAAACAAATCATTGACTGACTCCTTCTACCCAGTCTAAATTTGTTGACTTCAACGAATACGAAACTTCGTGTATACCCTAAAAATGCCTTTATCCACTAAAAGTTGAAGCCGTAGCAAATCTTAAATCCAACCACGTATTTCCTACTTATTCTTCCAAGAAACGTTTAACGTAGACAAATTGCGCCAAAATCCACCTCCCACTGATTCTTTTTCATTTTGTTACAGTCCGAAAATGGCCCCCTGCTGTACGCCATAGGATGGCACTGACACTAAATCATCAGGTATGACAGACAAAAGCCTTCTTTAGCTACTTGGAAACGTGGACAAAATGGTTGAGGAGGAAGGACTGGAATTTGACATCCTCGAGAGCAGGAGAGTCAATTGCACCTTGATGGCATTGGGACAGCATGATAGATATAAAAATGGTGAGTATCAGGTCAATTGGCTTATGATGTCTCCGAAATAGACAAGAACGTTTATTGTCATGAAAGTGTTATTATTGCAATTCTTCTTGAGCCTCAAACAGATATGGATTTGAGTATATTCATGCCTCATAAAAGTATTTAGTTATATTAACAAAATATCACATAACCATGTGTACAAAGGGTACTATAAAAGTTTTGCAATATAACTTAAGAAACGGACGCAGGAGGCTGCATGTTGAGACATGTCCATGCGTGCATAGTAGCCACCAACAGCACGTCAGTTGATTTAGTTGTTTATTCGTATTGACAGTGTAAAGTGCGGACTATGGCATTGTGGTCACGTAGTGAGATAACGGCAGATTTACGATATAACTTTACGCATGGTTTAAGTATAGACCAGTGCTTGGAAGAAATGACGCTTGCATTAAAGAATGATTGTGCTCATCGCACGACTATATTCAGGGGGTACAGAGAATTCCAAAGGGGCAATTTCACTCTGGAGGACGCTGAGAGGGAATTAGGGCTGCGAGCGTCAGTAACAGAAGAAAACATTACTGCTGCGAGGGAAATGCTTGACGAAGACCAGAGAGTGACATACCAACAGATAGAGGAAACCTTACACCTTCATTCACCAGCAATTCATTTTGTATGGAATAGCACCTAGAGGCAGCAGCGTTGGCATAGTGGTAGATGTTAAGGGTCTACTAATCAACCGCCGTGTACTGCGCGGGTTCGAAACCCGAGCCAAGACATTTTTTTTATCTTGGCCATGGATGTTGTGATTGTCCGTAGGTGGTAGACGGTCTCTAATTGTTGAACGTGGAGGTGCCAACCGGCGGATCTCTAGGATGTCAAGAAGGTTGACTCTGCACTTAACACGCAACGCTGTCAATAATTAGTTCATAGAGGATTATGCTCAGCAAAAGTTCGCCGCTCTGAGAAAAAAGTTAGCTACGGACAAACGAGTCCGTAGTCTCCACCCATTTGATAACACTATACATTTTTTGTTTTATCGAAAGTATCGACAATCTGTCAACAATCTTGAACCACACCAGTGAACCATGCCACGAACTAAAACTCAGCGCTACTAGACATGCGATAACTATCAACCTTGTGTGGTAATTTCAAATACAGTAATCGTACATCGGTACGATACTACGTGTACCATACTAGCTAAATGTACGGCAATTCTCTGAACAAGCTTTTTTAATTTCAGAGGTTAACATATGTCCGATGAATTCCATATCCAATCCTTCTCAATCCAACCTACATGTGAGTGAGCTCCATCGTTACTTTCACGTTCACACATCTACATGCCTCTTCAATTAATTGCCTGTCCTTCAGATATTGTTACGCCAGACACCTCCCTCCACCCTTCGATGGCTCCTTGGTCTAAGTGCCCGAACCTCCCCTCCGTCCCCCGACATGGACATCTGCCTGAACATGAATCCACCAGTACAAATGTTTGCTGGAATTTGAGACCGAGAGCGTCAGCGATGCACTCATACACAGTCGGGGCTTGCAGCATGGAGGAAGGAGACTCGCGACCAAAAATATTTTCTTAAGCTTTAAGGGGGTTGAAAGCGTATCAATATAATGTGACCAAAAATTGAGATACAGCCTCCCCCACCTCTACAGCCTCCAACCCCCAATCTTTAACACTTACAAAAATTAGGAACCTTTGAAATGTCAAAAAACGAACTTTAAGCGATTTTTTTTTTAATTTTCTGCAACTAAATTGATTTTCAAAATCTACAAAGCTTCTTCGTCACTGCATTAATACTAACTTTTTGTGAAAATTTTGATCAAAATCCAATCGTTACGTTTCAAGACATAGAAGGGCAAGTATTAACAGACAGATAGAGCGACAGTCCGACGGAAATGAGTAACATGGTTTTTCGTGATGTGGCTAAACCACATTTTATTATCACTGCATGTTGCAAAACAAAACTTATAACTTTTGGACTCACCCAAAAAACGCCTGTAAAACCTTGAAAATCTAATACAACAAACGAACTAACATAACTAATATACATGGTGACTTTGAAGTTGAGTCATTAATTTTCAGATAATGATTGTAGAAGGAAGATAAACCAAAATATGTGTGTAAAAATAAAAAAAAATTTTTTATCTTGTTTTATAAAGTATCCTCCCGACAAGTATTTCAGTGCGGACCTGTATTTGATCGTGAGGTCCCCTGTGAGGTCTTAAGTCACCTGATTCACGAGCCCGTTGTACTACATTAACAAAGGCACGAGGGGTTGGTTGCACTCGATTGGGAAACCGATCCGCATAAACATGTGCCATTTTTTATTTCATTTGAGCCACGCAACAGACACTATTCACACGCGTTACCGACTGACAGTGACTGTATGTATAACTGAACTGAATAAAATAATTGTAAAAACATCGTTCCAAATTCTTTCGCTTTTTTGTTTCCGATGCGATGAACCGATAAGGCGGATTATATTCGTTGTCGCCAAACACGAGCACATGATATTATTATTGAGACAGGGCGGTACTCAAACTTCCAAAGGGCTATAACTTTGTTACTTTAATTTTACCAGAAAAATGGTAAAGGAAAAAAACATTTCTTTTGATCAGATCTACTCACTGTTAAAATAAATGACTCAACTTCGAAGTATAAATTCTATGCAATTTCAACAGTTTCACTTTTTTCTATCAGTCAATCATTTATTATCTTCAAAACAACTTTTAATAAAAGTGGTTGCCTCATCAAAATACATACTACAGAGATCTTTTAGATCATGGAATGGGTAAAGAAAGTGCTGCTCAAATGAATATCATTATCCACGTTAGACATACCAGCTAAAGACATATCAGTTGAATTGGTCCCAAAATATATAATACGTTACCAGAAAATTTTGAACAAAAAAATATAGTACGATTGAACCTCATATTAATGACTGCATTTGGTAAAATTTTATGGTAATTTTATTTAATATTGATATTTGCATATGTATAAGTATCAGCTTTTCTCTCTTCCTCTCTGAAATACAATTTATTTATTTGTAATAATCATAATTTCATTGTGATTTGATTTCTTAATTGGATATCTGCACACACAGACAGACTTGATATTTTTGTTCTCAATTTTGTATCTTTGTTATTTCATTGTACTGTTCTGCATTTATAATTTCAGTAGAAATACGTAAAATAATTTTCCATCATGTACAACTGGCGAAGCAGCATAATTTAAAATATTTGATAATAAAAATTGTTAATACAATGTACATACTTTATAAATATGCAAATAAATATGAATCTGAACATTATATAGAATCGAGACGTTATACAATGCTTCCTCGCCCGTAGGTGTGGGAACTAAAATGATCGATAGAATAAACTTGCTGTGTTCTTTTCAAATACTTAAACTAAATACAGAAATTCCAGTATACAGCGTATTGTTTTTATTATAACGGCTATGACAAATATTATCTCGTTTAGGCCTGTATTTCTTTCTGTTCGTAGCGTAGCCGAAGATGCAACAATAGCTGAGTACCATGTTTCATAAAAATATAACGAATGGTTAAAAAAATGTGAGGTCATAAAAATGACCAAAATCAATAAAGTTCCCTGCATCTCGGTATTAGCAGAGACTAAAGATCTATACAGCATGTATAGTTTATAATCACCTCACCGGTCTCTCACCCAATGAAGCTCCCGGTATATGCAAACTAGCTAAGAAGTCCTACTGCGATCATTTTGGAGAGTATACTGAATAAAATTTCAAATTTGCCACTATACTTACACCTTCCCAATGCACCCTTATTCCCACTTGGTTATCGCTACGGCATCTTATTTCACTTAAGCTTATGTACAATTCATACCATATTCATACAATATTTATTGGAATGTTACGTGGGACGATAGCGGTATAAAATGTAACGGAACAACAAGTATATTCAGTATAAACACGTCCAAAAATACCTGGCTTAATAAAACACGGATTTAATGTAATTTAACATGGGCGCATCGTTCAAAGCGAATCGATTACGATCATAACTCTGTTAATAAAACTTTAATTTATTAAATCATAAATTATGAATAACAAATTTCATGGCAGATATATGGCGTTTATGCCGATCCGTATTGAATTTAGGCAGATGGCAGATTGGATTATGTTAATGTGTCGAGTTTGATTGAAATGCGACCATTTTATAATCTACATGCCTAGATTACGAATTAAGAGCATGTTTTTGGATAAAACATAAATCAATGATGTGTTGACTAGGATGACCAAATCTAGGTAATTTATTCTTCACCATATATACGTCAGACAAAATTAAAGTGGTTAAAAGCAGCTAAAAACAAACTTATACCTTAAATATAATTTCATTCAATAGAGTTATCAGATCTCTGCATTTATTCATCATGCCACGCCACAAGATAGCTTTATTTAACAGATCTTTCACATTTAACGCAGTTACACTGCATAACTCGATTCCGGAAAATCTAAAACCATTCCTTAAATAGGTTTAAATATTATTTGAAAGATCGCCCCATGCATAAATAAGTGTTTTTTGTGTTTATGTGCTCGAGGATTTAACTTCAAATTTAAATATATTCCAGGCAGCAGCGGTGGCCGCAGTAGTAGACTCCTCGGTCTCCTGATCAGTCGCCGTGCGCTGTGCGGGTTCGAATCCCGCCCCAAGAGAAATTTTTCTCTTGGCTATGGATGTTGTGATTGTTCGTGGATGGTAGATGGTCCGTGACTGTCGAACGCAGAGGTACCACGCGGTGGATCTCATAGGCGGGCCAGAATGTTATAGTATTTTTAGTGAAAGAACCTTTGTTACTTTGAAAAAATGGATAAATAGAAATTTCGTGTGTTAACAAAGCATTGCTGTTGGTGAAAAAAAATACTGCTGAAACCAAGTCTTGGATTGATAAGCATAAATATGATGTCAAAGGATACTAAAATCAAACTATTTCCCTTATACTGAGCAATGCTGAATATGCTGACTCTGTGTATGATCCTTGTTTCATTCAGACGGAAGCCCAATTAATACAAAACGTGCAAAAGGTTTCAAAGGCATATTCACGGTCTAAGCAGCTTTGAAAAAACATCTACTTATGTTAAAGGTATTACGATGATCAGAGATGGACTTATTACCTGACCTGTTTGATTCATTCGGTGTTACTAAGGAAAAAACCTGTTAAGTTACATGAAACGCTATCTTTGAGAACTGATATCCACAATATTAATTTGAGATTTGTGGGTAACACTCTGGATGTCCCCAAGCCCAATATAACAGCTTTTAAAAGCATTTTTTCATATATGGGTTTTAATTTGTACAACAGGATTCCTCCTGTTCTTAAAATCAAGTGTACCAGTGCTTTCAAACCCACAATCAATGATCAAATACTAGCCACTGATTTTATCATTTATGTATGCAACAGTTCTGCATCTATGATATGCTCCCAAAATCTTCTATCCGGTGCTTTTCCTTTCCACCGCTGTACCTTCAACCTACGAAGACAGCGTCTATCCACAAACGTCTTGATCTTCCTTGCCTTATCTTGCATCCCAAAAACTCCTTCTAGAACCACTTTTGTACTTCGCATATCAGGCAGTCTGCAAACATGAACTGTATATAGTTCCTACAGTTCCTCATTCGTTCTTCCCCAAATTTCATTTTCTTTCACACCACCATATGTTTTCCTCGATATTTTTCTTTGCCATATATTTAGGATTTCTTTATTTTTTATTCAAGATCCACATGTTGCATCCATAAAGCACCATTGGTCTTATAACAGTCTTATATATCCAAATCTTCAGTACCTTTGTTACATCACTAGATTTAATTAATTCTTCAGTGCTCCTGCCTTTCTTCTTAGTCCACGCAGGATATCTCCATAAGATTTATTTTTTCTTCATTTATGTGTAATCAAAATTGTTCTGATGTTACCTCTCGCTGTTGAAAAATCCTTGTCAGTTCTTGTTTTGTTGTCCATAAGAAGACAAGATCGTCAGCATAGACCATGACCCGGTGTTTATGGCGAAATACGTGTATTGTTCCACTGGTTTATAAGCCCATTTTTTAGGTATTCTAGTAGGAGATTAGAGAGGACAGTTACTAAAGCGCCACTTGCCTTACTCCTCGAGATACGCCAAAGCTATCCGATATTCTTCCTTCAACTTGGACCTAGCAATTTGTTTTTCTCAGTGTGAGAGAAGTATTTCTTCTTCCGAAGATAATTCTTCAGATCCATAAGTAAGCTCCTACCAGCTCATCTGTTCTTTTACTATCATAGCAAGACAAATTATTTTCAAAAACTGATACAGCAGCAGCCGAATAATCCTAAAAAAAACAGATAATTCCCCAGACCTGTGACCCCTCTATATCATTTCGGTTTTGATGAAACTGGAGAATAGTGGGTTTCCAATACGGCAAAAGCTCAATAGTTTTTGAGTTTAAGCGGCGCTAATACTACCAATCCATACAGAAATTGAAGTCGATGTGCTCGATAACCTTTTCTTTGACCAAACGCTCACGGCTTACTTTACAGCACGTTTAGCTGTAATAATGCATCATTTCACGGAAATATGTAAGCACCTCGTATTCTTTTATGGGCGGAATGATTATATACTTGCAGCGTTAGCGCTTGAACATAAAAGTTTTCTTATTAATTAAAAATGTATCGTAAAAGCTGGCAGAAACATTTTCTAGAGAGATGAAAGAACAAAATTTAATTTGTGTTGTAAAATAGAGGCAGTTGCTTTCTTTTAGCTGCTGTTGGTCTGTGTTAATAGGTTCAAGGGAGACTCAACTTGTAATTAAAATTGGAGGATTTCATGTCTGAAGCTAAGCAGTTTAATTTCAAGGCTCGATTAAGGTTGTGCCGCATTTTCAGCATCAGTGAACATTCGGTAGGACGTAAACCTTTAACCTTTACCCGATGAAGGTGGCACCTAGCGGGGTGACCATACTCTTCATGCAGTTAACAAGAAGGCACCGAATGGGTAACATGTTCTCCTAAAATGAGCAGTTGCATTTTAGAAGGTAAATCCGAGAAACTGGTGAACATTGGTAACAATTGATAATATTAAATACGCTAAAATAAAAGAATCTGGTATTTATTGAAACTGAAATAGAATAAGAAAAAAAAGATCGCCCTAAATGGGATCGAATCGTCAATAAAAATTTACGCTTGGCACGTCTCATTTCTGTTACACGTACGACTACTCCTTCGGATTTTATACATATATAATTATCACCATCATAGCCATTATAAAATGTTCATTCGATTGACATCGCAAAATGAATTTCTCTAAAATTTAAATGACTGAAAATAGAAAATAATGTAATAACTTTGTCGCTTTCATAAATATTCCTGACATATTTTCTCAAGTGTTACTTCACCAACCAAGAATTTTCTTCTCTTATGTCTCTCATTTTTGAAATTCAGAAAATTTGCATATATAATTTTTAGAATGAATAAGAAACGGTGGATGCAACTAATTTCTAACTTTGAATCTCAAGCAAGTGTATTTAAGACAAAAAACCAATGGGATTATCATCAACACATTTATTGACACAAAAATCCTCACCTGCACCTGTACATTGCCGTTTGAAGCAGATTTTACATCACATCAGAGCCAAACATTGATAACTGAAGTATCATCATCAACACCTACAACTACAAAACGAGTTCACAACGTGTCCATCAGCTAGTGCTAAGTTAACACCTCGTAGAAAGATCTATGTTATGTCAAAAACAAGCAATATAATGTAAAAAAATGACATAATATATTTTTTCATCAAAACAATGGGCCCATGACATAAACATACTTTAACTTAATGCGAACACGAAATTTGAACTTTTTTCGTATGGAAATAAGATGAGCAAAATTAAATAAAATTGGTTAACATTCATGACAAAAGTGTTAAAGATCTAATAGCATTATTGAAGCACTACACTACAGACCATCACGAAAATCCAATCAGCGGCCACATAAAAACGTGATCAACCGCCTTTTTAATTAAAGGGACTAAACGCTCTAACACCATGCCTCCCATACAAATAATGGCGCAGCATCTGGTCGTTCACTTATGTGACCAATACCGCACTGATGATCCGCGAGAATGGTGAAGCAATGCTGTATGTGATCGGTTGGAGATAGACGAAAACAGCCAATCTTGATTATAGCGCGGCTATCTTAAATATGCGAACGTGCAACTGCAAGAACCTAATTTACGAGTAATATCAGATACTTCACCAATATTTAAACCATTTTGAAATTTTCTTGCGGTCCAATAGTGTAGTGACATTTTTATTTTTATTTTCAGTGTTAACGTGTCCAGCCTACTTTGACGGTTGGTCTTGCTGGCCTGAAACTCCAGCAGGTTCGGTAGCTAACCAGTCTTGCCCCGACTTCATACCAGGTTTTGAACCATCGAGTAAGTCTGTATCAAGCTTATTATGGATCCTCTATGCGGACAATATTTTTGTGTCAATATTTGAATATAATTATGACAGCTATAGCCCGGTCATCATGAACATATGGCTATACACTTCGGGTATATCTTGGTAATATACATATTACACATTATTTACATTACATTAATTAGGATTCCGATGCGCCAAAGATGTGGGAATATAGCCGGACACACCTAAAATATTGCCGTGCGTTGTTGGCTGCTGTTGCCCGTTTAGGTGCTTCATGTTCATGTATTTTTATTTCTTGACTCGTTCTGACAGATCGTCGTAGGATGGCATAGAACACGTACATGGTATAGTACAATAGAATAATGCGAAAAAAACATAAAGAAAATAAATAAGTAAATAACACACCTCAGTAAATGACCGTCGAAAATAGAAAAACGCTGAAATATAACTTAACGATACAAATTCAACTGAAACAAACACTAGAACAACGTTTTTCTCACCATTGGGATCTTGGAAACGGTAAGCGATACAAAGTAGTTTAAATGGAAGCAAAGTTGCGTATTAAGGTAACTAACAAGATGCAGTTTCGAAAATTTTGATATTAAAAGTAGTTCCGTTAATTTTTCCGTACTTTATTTGTAGTGAGATTTCGAAACTAATTGTAGAATAGCATTGACACTTTTTTCTTTTACAACATGGTATAATTAGAATTTTAATTTCTCTTGTCCTCCAGCATCAACTTCATTTTTTGCCATATTGAGTTTTTGTATAAATTAATTGAACATATAACATGTCATGTCAGGAAGGCCTTGAAATTATCAGTCAAATGATTTATTGAAAAATCGTTGTTTATTTCTTGATTTTATTTGACATGGGATTAAAAAATAAATTGTATATTATCATTGCCAGTATTTCTCCTCTACAAGAGGGCGTAGTCAAATTCTCAATTTTCGATCTCCATCCTCAATTAACTGAAGTTTTGCGCTATCGCACACCATTTTTGATTCTGAATTTATTTATGAATATAATACATTATGTCACGATAAACTTCACATATTCCATCAAAGTAATATTATTCTTAATAGTATTTAAATGTACAAAATCAAAATACAGCGCCCATATGAGAAAATAAAGTTGGTGATGGAAGTAGAAAGAGACCTCGAATTGAAAATTTGAACACCCCATTTTGTATAGGATAAACAGTGGCAATGGAAACATGCAATTTATTTCCACATGACACCTCAAATGAAGTCAAGAAAAGACTAAAACGATTTCGGGAAAATTCGCTTCTTTCCGTTTCTCTCTGGAGCTACTTAGAAATCTGAAACTTTCTTAGCAACATTTTTGTAAGCGGGGTTTTCGGTCCTGAAAATCGCTAAACTTTCAAATTAATCGCATCTATGAAATTTTGCTTTTAAATATCATATAACATACATTAGAATTGTTCATCAAGATTGACATTTTTATTTTAGTACTTGATTGTTCTTTGAAATCCCAAAATTCGCAAATTTGGCATTTGTACCTAAAATTCACATATTTTTGAATATCTAACATTCTCTGTATTGGCAACTGTCTGCTGCAAATTTACAAATATAATAGAACATGCTAAGTACACAAAACATACATATATGAAAATGGAAGTTTTGTTCTACGGCGCTCACATGAAAAAGAAAAATGTTGACGTAAGATCAAAATACATGTTCGAAAATATTTAAATGCCAAAATTTGATAGCGTGCTCATAAAGCTGATCCTTGTTTTCATATTTTCACATTAAAAAGTTTGATTTTCTCGACAATTCTTTTTACTTCTCACACCTACTGGCTCTGCGAGGGTTCGAATCCCGTCCCAACAGAAAATTTTTCCCTGGCTATGGATGTTGTGATTGTCCGTAGGTGGTAGCTGGTCTGTGACTGTCACACGCGGAGGTACCATCCGGCGGATCTTGTAGGTGGGGCCAGATTGTGTGCATGGAGTAAGAACATGTGTTCCCTCGTTAGAGTCCGTGGGGCGTCCCCCCCTTTTCCCCTGTATTCTCCTTATGTTACCCCATGGGTGCTTAGACAAAAATTACCTCAGCAAGGTAGTAGATGTACCCCGAATGACGGCAGCCTCATAAAACCCACTTAAGAAGATAAGGTGTTAATCATTTCAGGAAATCGACTTATAGGTCCGTTTTTGTTTGACTACAACCTACATGGACAGATGTACTTAAAGCTTTGGCGAAACCAGGTTGTGCCGGCTTTACGAGCTAGTCTAAACGAAGATGAGCTTAGAAGAACCTGGTTTTATGAAGATGGATGTCCGGCTCACAACACCATTCAAGTAAGGAAAGCAGTTTGATGAAAGAATAATTTGATTAAATGGTTCAATATCTTGGCCTCCTAGATCCCGTGACCTTTCACCCTTGGACTTCTACCTCTGGAGTCACACAAAGAATGAGGACTATGAATTTGATCCTCCGCGACCATAGTAATCCTAAGATGAAGAATTTTGAGCCCACTTAGAAACATTAACAAAAACAGACTAGCTAAGGTTGTACGAGAAGCAGTCACCAACTGTCAAAAATGTCTAGATGCAAATGGACGTTATTTTGCAAATCTGTAAATTAATACCCACTTACATAATTAGATTTTACGTTACAATTTTGTAAAATATTTGGTTGTTCAAGTGTAAAATAGATTTACGACCATTTTTCTGACTTGTTATTTTAACAGACTCATAGTTGGCAATTTGTCACAAAAATTTGACTTGTTGAGAAGTCGATATTAACGTATTCTAATGAAAATTCAAGGCGTTTGTGCGTTTTTTATGCCTTACTCATTAATGTTATTTTCTGACAAATAAATCATGGCCTCCTTAAAAAAAAATACATAACATTACATGTGATGATATTTCGGTGATAATCCAGTTCTTATGCACTTGTGAGACTTCACTAGATTGGAAATTTTACACTCATTTCAAAAAATCCGATATGGTGGCCATAAGAAAAATGAAAGTTGAGGCAGGTGCCTGGAAAACAAAAGACGATTGAGACATGTCATACATGCTATCTAACTTCATTAAAAAATAAGGTCACATTTTGACAGCTGTCAAATTCACCGTTCTGGATTTACTGACAACAAACAAATGCCGTCATTTTTGGTTTTTCTTTGACATTTTCAAAACCAATTGACCGATCAAAAATCTCAAGCCGGCTATCAAAAGCACTAAGTTTCCTCTAAAATTCGACCCATTCAAGCTTTGCTGTAGGAATAAGAGGCTCCGAGATGCCCGGATGCCCTTTGAACGAACCCTGTATATTGCTCAATAAACTAGTAGTGATGGCCAAGAAAGCAGGTGTCTTGGGATAAACAATTAGAAAGTCTCAAGAACTACTTGACCAATATACTCCAACGTTGATGTGGTTATTTAAAAGCATGAATCCTACGAATTTGAAAAATTTCAAATATCTGCGAGAAACCATCGCCGCATAATCTGCTGTTAGTCGGATATTTTCACGTGTGGTCTCATTTTGTAAGTCTCATAAATATCTGAAAATCTTATACGGAAAGTTTTTTCGTTTCTATCAAGACTTTCGATTTAATCGCAAAAACACGTTTTCTCAGCCTTTGTTGTCAAATAAAAAGTCTTCCCAAAACAATTGGTGTACCCATTTTATGCGTCCATGTTTTAAATACCTCATTGAACAACTTGCACCAATAAAACCAGAGTTTACAATTATTTCGGGGAAATTTGCTAATATGATAGTCTAGCGCTGGCCAGGACACTTCACTGGAGGTTCCAATCCACCTTCCGGGAAATCGCTGAGAAAGGCACTCTCGAACTTGCCTAGAGTTATGTATTTACAGGAGCACCGTCTTGTTGAAACTAACAGCTATTAACCTGTGCCAGGCAATCTTAGATTATGTTGCAATAATTGCAGTTAATGTGTTGTAGTAAATGACTGAACCTAATATTTTGGTCCTTACAATTCTACACCACATATTAAACCCAAAACGTTCTGGGGGTCTGAATATTTCTTTAGCACGCAAGTTTTCTTGAGCTCAGTAATGAGTGTTGCGGTATTAAAGATACCAGTATCAGTGACCATACTCTTGTCGGACCATATTATTTTTGAAGGGAAATTCATGTCTTCTTCACACGTTCGTGTGTACCACTCACAAAAATGCTGGCGCCGTTCGCTAACCCCTGGTCTAAGGCCCGTATCGTCAGTCGTCCCTACAATTGTAGGGCGCCTTTATGGCCTCCTTGATTGTCATAGTTTTCTACTTCTCCGTGTCAGAACTCTATTTTGAGGTTATGCCACAAACATCTATTTGCATCAAAGTGTGCTTGCTTTTGAGTAACATCATGTTTTATCAGCCTGAAATTTCCTACAATTTAAAAAGAAAACATATCTTCACAATATGAGAGCGCTGACGCTGACACGGGACAAGTGTAATCTAGAAATTTTTGAAGGAGAGAAAGGAGTATGACAATCAAGGAGGCCATAAACGCGCCCTACAATTGTAGGGACTACTGACGATACGGGCCTTAGTCCTTGAAATATCCTGAATTTATAATGGTGATATCTATTTTTATACAAAATAAAGTGGGCTGTGGATTTGGCTACTCCTACATTTTTCTCGATTTGCCTAGTTGATATCTCGAGGTTCTCAGCAACTGCATGTAAAATATTATTCTGCATTTACTACAAAGATTCGAGATGTAACAGGCTTTTTGAATGAACCACATTCATTTAGATTTCCGGACAACTCTAAAAAAATGAACCTTACTTGGCTGCCTTGTTGATGATGGTTTCTCAAACATGAACCGTCGGGCACACAACTTAAAAACATCACCATGTAGTGCCTAAAGAGTGCTAGTGGAAAGGTTTTATCAGTTTTTTGTTTTTTTTGTGAAATAAAGTCAGAATGAAGAATAAAGCTGATTTGGCCAAATTTTAGTTTTTCCCAAATGTC